AAATTACAAAAGGGCAAATAGATTGATATTTAAGGTTTAATTTTCTTATTTAACATTAATGAACTTACAAGGAAAGAAGATTATGAAATTATTCACGCTTGAGAAAACCATTTTTCAAACTATGAAAACCTTCTATCATGTTTGTTTTTTAACTTTAATTTTGAGAAATGATTTCATAGAACTCCGTGTGGTGCTATTATAGGTCCTATGTAGGTCTAAAAAAACAAATGAAAAAAAACCCGATTACTTCCAACAAGCAGATTCTGCCTCATAGTGGTGGCATGACAACACAGGGTAGAACTGTCCCTGTGGGTTTCTGAGATTATAACCCTTGTGGGAGTAGAAAGTTTCATCTTTCTCCTGCGGAAACGCTAGTGGTTTAAAACTACTGACCATGCTCTTTGCAGCTCAACATGTAACCACTATGACACCAACCAGCTTTTATACAGCTGGTGCTCAATAAATACTGGCTCCCTCACTACTATGCTTTGTAAAGATGCTTGAATCTAAGTAGGTAAAATGTCCAACACATGTACACATGTTCATCTTGCAGTGTCCTCTTTCTCAGTGTTAGAAGGTCACAGTATTTAGGAATTCCTTGAGTTCTCCTGTGCTAGATTTTGGAGGAATAAAGTTGGGTCCTAAGCTCTACAACTACTGATGCTGAAATTTTCAGCAGCAAAGACTACTACTGAGTATGACAGTCTTAAGTTAATAAAATATAAAGCAACCTCACTGATATAAGCAGGCATGTTTTTAATAGTGAAGTTTTCTTTTTTGATCACGAAGTGATTGTGAAGGAGGTTCGCAGCGGCAAAGCCTGGGAAAGCCTATGACGCCAAGCAAATGTGGAAGTCTAGGAGAGAAGAATTCTATATGCCATGATTCTTTAACCGAATTTCTTTTTCGTTAAGGTAATGGGCAGAAAATTGGTTGTTAAACACATCTCAGAATAGTTATCTAAATATGCACTCTATGAAAGACATCTTAAAAGAAATTCTGGATCTAAGAAATACAAGAAAATACTGTAAAGGCAACACAATGTATTAAGTACTAGATGAACGATTTCATTTCAAAATGGAATGAAATACACTCTTGCTTGACTAGAGCTGGTGACCATGTACTCAAGACATTTGTCTGATGACAAATGATTAAGAAATTAAGTTGCAATTAAATAAAAATTGCAGCCAATTAAGGAAAAAGGACAAAACGGGCTTTGGCTTTCTGTTTTTGCTTTTTTTTGTTTTTTGTTTTTTTCTAAAAAGGATGTTAACTCATTCCGAAAACTCCCGGCCGTGAAGTCAGTTCTGACTCACAGCAGCCATAGACACGGAGCGTAACTGCCACTGCGGGTTTCCGAGACTTAAATAGTTCTCCCTCGGGGTAGCTCATGGTTTTCAGTTGCTGACCTGTGGTCAGCAGCCCAACCTGTAACCAACCACTACAGCACCAGGCTCACAAAACACAGGCCAAGCTATAAGGGGCAGGGCACAATCATTTCAAGTTCATGCAACAAGTATTCCCTTCCGTAACGATCTTTGCAGTCCATGCCACAACAACCTGCCATTACAGCACGTATCTTCCAAAGAATTTCTCCAAAACCACTTCAAGACACTTGTCACTTCAGTCTGGGTAGTTATGACACTACCAAAAGGGGGCAGCCTTTGTAGATGGGGTATTAAAGGATTGCAGTAAGATGAGCAAAGTACGCTGGCCACATTTTATTAAGAAGTGGAATATTTTAATTTGGTGAAAATCCTGTCATTAAAATAAAAAACATTAAGGTTCCTCTATGGAAAATGAAAGGATAATTTAAGGAAAACTTGCACACATCAATTACGAACGTGAACCATACAGCTAACTGGGCTGGCGCAGGTTTCTCTGCGAGGCCAGCTGGAAACAGCTCACTTGGAATGACTCCTGCTTCTACAATGCCGGGTCTAAGTGGCAGTGTTAACACCAAGCTGGAAGATTTCCTGTCAACTTCTTAGTTGCACACAAACAAAATGAAAGCACTGAGAAATTCTAGATGGTGCATATTCGATAAATACCGTCAAGCCATACAGCATAGTCGGGGTACACTTGTGAGCACCAGGAGCCATAGTACCACCCGAGTTTGAATCTCAACCAGTTACTAACAGAATGATCATGAGCACACATCTTAGCTGCATTCTTGCTCAATTTCTCCAGACAGAAAGTGAGGATAATGGCATCTGCTATAATCTAAGGTATGTTTTAGTAAAGATTAAAATTAATACATGGAGAGGGCTTACCAAAGGTGGTAGGTAGGCTCAATCCAAGGATCAAGAAAGGATAACAATTTTAATATGTTCTTGTTCCAGTATCAGTCTAGCTGATGGCTTATCAAGTTATAGAAAGATGTGTTTATTTTTTAAGAGGCTGCTGAAGTCTTCTGAAGTCATTGCACCTTTTGTGATAAATCAGAACAATACCCGCTGCTGATTCTATGAACTCCGCAGATAAACTAGGACTTGCCCTTTATGGAATAGATTCATTGTCTTAGCTCACTCAGAAGCAAAGTTATATCTAACTTAACACAGTGCCTTTGTTAGTCATTTCCCCCAAAGGAAAACCCTGACCTACGTGGTGTTGAGTTAGTGGTAGTCCACAAAAGGTAAAAGGGGGGCCTGAGGCTTTTGCGAGGTGAACACACATCTCAAATTCCTGCAAGTAAAGGATGGAAGGGAAGGCAGCCGTTTAGAATCAGCACTGGGTCTCAGCCTCTGCTAGGGACCTGACTGCCTTGCTTCTAAACAAGCACTTTCCCCACGAGCATCAGCTTCCTGGGCTGTGGGAGCTACAGCTGAGAGGGAGTAACAGAAAGCAACTGGCTCCTGTCTGACCGCAGTAATCAGCAGTGATCATCTCCAAAATTCGTATTGCTTTTATTATTATTATTATTACTTGACAGGGCACCTGCTGTCAATCTGGCCTACACATGTGTAACTTAGCTCGTGAGTGTTAGCTACTAGCTTTCTCTAAGGCAGGTTCATGCTGTCTTTAGGAGAAATTTCTCATGGCTTTTCGAGAAAAACTGCAATCCTTTCCTGGGTTTACTTCATCAGTTTAAGTCAGGTAGAGTCAGTGTGCTTCATGAGTTGCTTTTCTCCCCCTAAAACTTAAGTGTTAAAAGTCTTAAAAATAGATATTTGTCAACTTCAAAGAGGAGTCATTTTGCCAGCTGATATTTCCCCATAAAAACAAAATACTGTGGTTCTAGCCTAAGAATGACAATGATAATAATCCAAGTAAGGAGGAGGAGATTGATGACGGCCATTAGCATATCCTAGAAATGGTCCTAGGTTGTTTCAGATGTGTTATCTCATTGCATTTTTAAAACCATCCTATAAAGTAGATACTCTTCTTACCACTAAATGAATGAAAAAAGTGAGACCCAGGAAAGCTGAGTAACTTTTGCACAGCCACACACCTAGCATGTGTGGCTAGACATAAGGACTAGACAGACCTAAGAGGGAGAGCAAACACTTGAAGAGTAAGGGGCTACCTGTGCGTTATACAAGACGACATGACGGAAAAAAAGGGCAGAAATGAAGATAAGCAAACTACAAGAATGTCTTTGCAGGAAGACATGAAAGGAGACAGGACACAAGTGAAGATTGGTGAGACCAAGGAGATCGTCTGTTGGAGTCGATCAACACTGCACTGGTTTTGTCACCAGAAGAAGGCCAAGGTAGCCACTGAAGAGCACCTAACTGACAACGCTGACTCTTGTCTGAGGCATGAAATAGAGATCAACAAAGGAACCACCATCTTCTCCTCGAAGCAGGAGAAACATGAAAGAATGGGAAGGGGTGGGGAGCAGGGGAGTAATATTTAATTGTGGGGCACGAAGAAAATGTACATGAATCCAAGCGCGCCCATGACCCACCACATCTAGTATCGTGTAACCGCACAATGAACGGCATCTGCGAGCAGAGGTAGTGATGGAGAGGAACCTCAAGGTCACGGAGGCTTCAAACAGGGAAGGGTGTAAAAGAACTTTCTGGTGGCAGCGAGGACCTGAGCTGACGTTGGAAGGGATATTTTTATGGTAGCACTAATTCAAAACTATGCTATTGAATTATTAAAAAATAACTATATCATGATATTTGTCCTATTTCAGGCATGTCTTAGTAGCACAGGTGGTAACAGAAGTGGTGAGGTCAGAGCACAACACTAATCTTTGTCTAAGGGTTGGGCAAATGGGCAGACCAGAGAGGACTCCCGCTGGCTTGAGATGGGAGGTAAGCCAGGAAAGAACTAGTGAGAGCACCTGCTGAGTATGTGATGTGAATTACAGTGGGGAAAAAATAAATAAAGGTTCCAGGGATGTGGTGACAGGAGGAGAGGGGGGCTATAGTTAGAAAATGTTATCTTAGACCACTGTTCTGAGTGATGACAAGGCGTGGCCAGGGCAGCGGAAAGACACAAGAGGGAGCAAAAGACAGAGGAGCTCTGGCACCATGGAGAGTGAACCACCAAAAAGCCAGGATGTTGGTGCACCTGTCACACTACCCACGACCACCTCTTAATACTTGCTGTGTGCTGCAGGGCTGAGTTCTGCTCACAGAGACCTTACATGACAGAGAATAGCTGTCCATAGACTTTTCTAGGCTATAAGCTTTATGGGAGCAGATCATCTGGTCAGTTCTCTGGAGCAGCTGGTGGGTTCAAATAGCTGCCCTACTGGTTTGCAGCTGAGTGCATAGCATTTGTTTGACCCGAGTTCCTAGTACATCAGAAAACCCACTGCCACAGAGTTGAATCCCACCTCATAGCAAGGGTTTTGGAGGGTTTTTGAAACTGTAAATCTTTACAGAAGCAGCAGCCTCATCTTTCTTCCAAGGAGGGGCTGTGGACACCACTGACCTTGACATTAGCAGCCCAATGCCTAACCTACAGTGCCTACCAAAGCTCTCCTTCCCTAACATGGACAGGATATTACTAGCAATTTACTTAAGCTTTTGACTCAAAGATACCTGTAGAAAGTATGATGCTCCACGCACACTTTCCATAGCCTTTTAGCAGCCCGGTGCTTTGGTAGTTTGAATCCAATGGTACTCTCAAACTGCTCCAGCTGGAATAAATTCACAAAACAAATAAACATATTTGGTGGGTTCAAGGCTAGTGAAAAACACAAACCACACATTTATTTCTGTAAGACGTAACTCTTCTTAAAAAGGTAAATATTACAATATGCAATTCTGTAGAGGCTCACAATGCTAATTTTTATGAGTCGATTTTCTTTTCTAAGAAGAGCAAGAAACATCTAAATCAGTATCTATCAATGTTCAGTAAACAAATTTCATCTTCCTCTTTGATTTTGGTCACATACTAGATCCAACAAGAAAAACGTTGTGTGCATTTTCTAGTGTCTCTTTTCTACAGAAAGCTTGGTGGTGGTTTATTTTTTAACATGAAGAATATATAAGCAGGCATAAATTATCAAGAATTTTGAGTTCTTTCTTTTTACCAGGAAAGTAAGGAACCGGTTAATTTGCTTAAAGTGCAGTGGGAAAGAATTCAATGTTTCCCTAATTCAGCCCACAAAGGGTGAAACCCTGACAACTGACACCCGGACGAGCTGGGGATGAAGCAAGTGCTTACCTCTGCCGGCCTCACTTTAATGTAGAAGTTGCTGCGTTTATAGGAAATTTTCAAGATTTTCGGCCAAGCAAAACGGTTGATTCTCAGCCTGTCCTTGTAAATGAGGAGTCCATTAGCACACACACCCAGCTTGATGTCCACACCCTCAGAGTCCTGCCAGGAAGAATCATGTGGTAGTGGTCAGAAATGTGAACATTATAGCCTTCAGGAAGCCATCTCCCTCAAACTATGACCAGGAACACCAATTTCATGGGCTTGAATTTAAATTTTAGTGACAGCAAGAGAGCTACTTAGAAACAGGACATACACACATCTCAAATCTACTCATTTTCAAGAAAGAAAATGATTTTCCAATGAGTTACAGCAGTATGACTGTGGCAGCCAATATTCTTCAAAAGGCACATGAATGAGTTATCAACAAATGCTGCTCTAAGAGCTGAGGAGGAAGAAAGGAAATGAGATTAGGAGATTCTGCAGCTATGGGTGATAAAACAGGGCTTGCTGGAGCCTAGTCCAGCCCTCGGGGACAGTCCCTTGGCCTACTCTAAGGCACATCTAGCCATTCTGCTTTAGTAAACCAAGTCAGACGAATTGTGCTACTTAACTGTAAAAATTATGCTATACTGTGACATACCAGTCTTTCAGTGAAAATGCCTTGCCCACGCTGACAAAGTGGAAAGTTCTGAACCCTTCCCGGCATCTGATCGAGAACACAGAGTTGACATCCAACTGCTTGGGAGAGCACATTTCAATGGCCTGCAGTCTGTGCGTGAACTGGACAAGAGCTAACTGGCTTATTTGGGCTTGGTAACTACCTAGAATGATTACTAACCTGGTATTTAAAAAACCCAATGGGCAGACAAAAATAATTGTAAACCATTGTTTTTCAGGGGAGAATTAGATCTCATTCAAGACATTTAAAATGTAATAATATTACCAGAAATATCCATACTTTCAGACATCATTAGCAACATGGAACAAATTCTTACAACCAATGAACCACCATATTTAGTCTAAATCCAAATTGAATAAAAGCAAACAAGGTGTTAATCAACTTATTTCTGAGAAAAATTGAACACAATTCTATTTGTGTTTTTAAAATAATAATGGCAAAGCTCATTAACGCCAATTGCTTTTGCTGCTGTGTTACCTGAACATTCATGTGCACCTGCTCGGGTTTGGAGGGGGAAAAACTTATACGTGTGTGCACGCACGCACACACACACACAAACACACACATGAAGTGCATTATTTACTCTTCTCTGGTAGCCATAATTCTCTCTAGGAAAAGAATTAAAAGCTGAGGTGAGGCAGCCACAGCCCAAGCAACCTGGCACCAGACCCAGAGAGTACGTGCCAAACTACCACTGGCATGGTGACAGGGAGCAAGACCAAAGATCGCAGGAGATGGTCATGTTCTGACCACAAGTGAGAAGATAAGCCTAATCTGAAACACTGAACAAAAGCCCTCTGGTCTAAAGCAAGTTTAGACAGGACACTGAGACTATTTTATGTCAATCAACATAACCTGGATTCAAACAAATTGGTTCATTTTGCATAGTTCCACATATTGTTTTAAAATTATCAGTGTTTATATAAATAGAAGTTATAAATAAATGGCAGGAAGTGAAAGGGACAAAATATGTTCTCCATATTTACCGTCTGCTGTTTAGAAATAAAGTCAGAAAAATAAATTAATACAAAGATGAGCCCTTCTCTGTCTTGTGTTCTGCCCCCAAGAAGTTGCCACACATGGGTAGCAAGAGAATCCCATTAACCACTGGCTTCTTTATAAGGCTTGATTGAGTTCAGTCTCTATAAAGTCCTCGCAGATCAAAAGGCACAGAGTGAGGGAAGGAACAGCATTTAACACCCAGAATTCCTCCCTGTGAGTCAACACCAGGCTTACTGATACCCCCACCCACACATACACACACACCCAGTAATGGTTCCATCCAAGACCACTTTCTCCTCTCTTTGACAACTATTTTCTCTACTCACCACTTCTCAAATTAGTGAGAGTAAGAAGGGAATCACAGCACACAGCACATGAATCCTAGTATTCAACTCTCCCCAACTTAAATTAATATCTTATCAAGAACACTGTTAAAAGTATCTAATCTTAAGACAGTGAAAAATGGCACAAAATTATAAACTACAAGTAATTTTATTTTAAATTGCTACCAGTATTCTTTTTAATAAACTACAAATATCTTAGCAAATATTATCCAATGAGTCTATAAGAAAATAAACTGAACGATGCTGCTGGAGGTGGGGTGTCTGTTGTTTTGGTTTTTTAAGTGTTCTGATCTTAAGTACACACAAAGAACTCAGAGCTCATATAAGACCTGTAACAGTACAAGGTTTTAACATGCAATGTTAAAAATGAGAGTCTAGAAATCTTTCAGGATTGCCAGGTCAGAATTGTCTTCTAATTTATCTATAAATTTATCTAAAAATTAGCCAGCAAAAAATTGGTGTGTGTTAAGAGAAGCAGCGACAAGCCAGGCCATCGGAGACGTATCTTGTCAAGTTCATCCTTTCCTCCTCCCCTTATTACCCATGCCAGACCCCATCATATAACAAAAACAAGGCGACCAGCAGTGCCCTTAGGGCAGTCAGCCTCGGACCACAATAGGTTCTTATCAGAAAATGATAGGCAGATGGGACTGATTAACCACTCAGCCCTAAGCAAGTCTCTTTCCGCATTGTTTTACACAACTGAAAAAGAGAAACATTGACACCTTAAGTGAAATGGTTCATGTGAATGGATTTTCAAAAATTAATTGAGTTACAGCAGTCCCTACTCATTAAAAATTAAGCCAACGAAAAGTATTAACGGACATGGAAAACTATCTATATCAATTGTCTGAAATGAAACAAAGTATGAACAAAGTAACCTCACAAACTGATACTCAAAGAGTAGAAGCCCATTTTCAAAAGTCTGAAGTGAGATGTGATAGGTAAAAGTCCCAACTAATTCAAAATAAAGAATAAACTGACAAAAATTTTAAGGAATGCTCTATTAGATAAAAACTCTTTAAAAAGGAAAAGCATGGAAGACAAGCTCTCAAAAACTAGAAAAGGAAGGGGCTGAACTGAAATGTTAGTTATGTTTGTGTGCGTAAGGAAATTTTAAGTGGCTTTTATAGTCTTGTCTTGTTTACTTCTCTTGATTTTTATAAGGTGAACATAAATTTTTACAGTAATGGAAAATATTTAATGACTACAGAAAAACGTGTTTTGCAAAATGAAGTACTGTCAGTAAAACCAAAGGGTGGGGGGGACGCTATCTTGAATGGGGACTGCCTAGAGCTATGTCAAATATTGTAATCAGGACTTCCTATGCTACATTCTAGGGGACAAGAAGAACAAAGGTGACAGAGAACAGGTGGTTCTTCCACCAATATTAATCACCAAAGATAAGAGTATAGAGAACCAGCCTCAAGTGAGGTGAGTAGCTTTTCCCTCTCAACATGAACTAAGCTATTGAGAAACTGGAGCCCTCTCAGAACTCTGGGTGGGACTGGAGCAATGTCTCCTCCACTGTTCCGTGTACAGTACCTTGGCACGATGCAGGTCAACACCATACATGGAGAGCCTCTTTGCATTTTCTAGGAATTGAGAATCTGCTTGTGCTGGAGATAAGCCCCTAAGAATCAAAAGAAGCAATGTTGTTATTATTCACATGTAGCCAAACTGGGGGACTGGGGCATATCACTATGCAGAGTTGGAACTGGAGGGAGTAACCCAGCTACATTTACAGACAAGTAGGAATCCAGTTAGAAGACTCCACTGTTAATCTCCGGTCGTTTTTCCCTTGAGATCCTCTAATTGTTGATGGCAAGGAGGCATACCTCCTCCCACTTTACTCTGCTAGTCCTAAATTTCCCCACTGGGAGGAAAAGCCACAGCAATAAATAAGAGGCACAACATTAGTTAACTGAGAATAAAACAACAAGCTCTCACTGTTCTAAAACAAATCCAGAGTCCTAAATGTTGTTTTCCACTAGGCCTGCTCAAATGAAGATCAGAATTACTGGTCCTTCAATTCACAGCATGATGGCACATACTGAATTCTGTCCATACTACGATGATTTTGAAAGTTTAATATGGTATTCAAGTAATCTATGTAATTCTTAGCTAAGATGACAGGCAGTCTTCTGTGGATAGTGTAACCACCTGAAATGTTTGAATTACATCCCTACACCTATCCTTATCTATATTTCGGATACAAATTCTGGTGCCTCATCATCCATCTTCCCAGGCTTTCTTATAAAATATGGTAATGCAAAAAGCAAGAGGCAGAATAAGCAAATGCCAAGCAATCTGTTGGTATGTTTACTGTGTGGGTGAGTATACTTGCATGCAGTTTAGAGTGCCTCCACCGGCAGGAGTGGGAGAAAGGAAAGGAGGTTTCCTCCTAGGAAAAGTAGACATTAATAAAAACACTTATTCTCACGAGCACAGTCATAAACACAATGAAAGGACGGCTCCGGGTGCCATAATGTCTTTATTAGTACCAGGAAAAAAAATGGACAATCCCATACACTATGCTCAAATGTCTGCGATCACAGCAACATTCCAGCATCACAGGAACACATGCACATGGCCACCACAGCTCGTCAAACGGACAGACAAGTGGTGGGCTATTGGGAGTAACTGTCATCAAAGTCAATTCCAAATCAACATGAGTCCATGTGAACAGTGTATAATTGCTCCGTAGGATTTTACAGCTGTGATAATTCAAAAGTAAAGAGCACGCCTATCTTCGTTCTGGTATACAGTCTGCAGTGGTGGGTTAGAACTAATAAGCTTTTGATTAGCAGGTGGGCCCGTAAGCAGCTGTACCACCTAAGTACTCCCAGCAAATGCTATAAG